TCACACAGACGCTTCCGAGTCTTCCGGGTCTAGGCTTGCGATTGGAGACGGCAGCAGCGTACTTCTGGCGCGGATTGGACGGCACTCCGTGCTTGGACAGCTGCGGCATCTTCGTTCTCAACAGGCCTGGCGAGTACACCCTGTGTTGGCCGCTGAGCGCCGTGCACGACAGAGACGAGACGGGGTTGCTCTTCGCGCGCAAGTCGGTGATCGGTGAGATCGGGTACCGTAACAGAAGCAAGGCAGATGCCCCCGCAGCAGCGGGGGCCTCCACCAGCCCATCATCGGAGCCGAAACACTGACACCACTGCCAGGAAGGAGGCCCTGGGATGCCTTACGATCGCTACTACCCGAAAAAAGACGCCCGCGAGCACCTCCAGGATTTACTGACTCAGTCAGAGGAATGCCAACGCAAGGTCCAAGAGAAGGAGCGTGAGAAACAGAGGCGCGCCGAGGCTGAGCGTAGAGGGGACCACCGCTTCTCTAATTTTCGCGAGGTGACCCTCTTCCGCGCGTTGCAGAAGACGTTCCCACCGGAGACCGTGGAGGTGGAGGGGCGCTGGCACGGCGGCGCCCACTACCCTCTCCTGTTCCAAATGCGCATGGCCAGCTCGCGTTCGCAGGGGAGGAAGCGCGAGAGAAACACAGAGAAGAAGGACCGGCGCGCCCAGAAACAGCAAGCAGCTGCGCTCCAGGGCGCCGCGGCAGCGGCGCCCGAGCAGCACGGGCCAGAGCGCCGGGCACCAGATCAGCACCGCGAGAGGGACGAGCAAGACGAGCGCGCCCAACAGGCGTGGCGCCCGCCAAGATGGGCAGACGAAAACGCGGACGACGACCGCGACTGGCCCGCGGCTGGCGATGGAAGGTCGCGGCGGGGGGTTGAAAGGGGGAGGGGGGGAGAGGGAGGGTGGAGCACGGGGAGGGCAGGAGGGAGGAGAGGGAATGAGGAATAGGCTGAGCAGGACGAGGGATGACATAAGGAAATGAGTGTCGGGAAGGGGCGGGAGTTGACAGGAAGGGGATAATTATAGAAATAGTTACTTATCACCCCCAAGGTGGCAGCCGACCCCGCAGTGGCCATCTCCTGGGCCTGCGCCGCTGGAGCAGCGAGGGCAAGGGTTGCAGGAACAGCAGCCGCGGGAGGCGCCGCGGCATCAGCCGCCAGAGCCCCCGCAGCAGCGGGGGCCGCAGACGCCATGGCAGCACCCGACAGACGGGGAGTGGCGCAGGGATGAGTGGCGCGGCAAATCGTGGGACTGGTTGCGCACCAGGGAGGGCGAGGAGCGCGAGTGGCAACAGCCGAGCGGCGAGGCTTCCTCGGTGCAGGACCGCAGGGTCGACTCCGCCTGGCGCGACATGCAGGTTGCATTCGGCAGCGACCCGCGCCCCAGTGACTGGTGGAGCAGCCACAGTGGGTGGAGTAGCGGCCAGGGGCACTGGGAGGCCACGAATACGACACACTGGAGGTGGGTCGAACACCCCCCCCGAGACCAATCCCTGGGAAGAACTTAATTAGCTGAACCATCGCACAGGGGCCGCCCCTCCGCAGCAGCGGAGGGAGGCCTCATCGGCCGAACGTCGACCCTCCGCAGCAGCGGAGGCCTTGCCAATGCATCGCGAGCGGCGGCGAGTCGCGCGCGCCGTCGTGCTCGGCGACCGCTGCCCGAGCGGAGAAGGAAAAAGAAACGGTGCTTTCATCGGTGCTGTCGTTGCCTCCTCTCCTTCGTCGTTTTTTTCTCCCTCCCCCTCCAATCCCCCATCCCGCCATCACATTTTATCGCCTCCAATCGTATCGGGATCTCCCGCGGCAGAAGAGCACCCAGAACGAGGTCCTCCGTGACAGAGGGGGGGGCATCTTAGGGCCCCTCTGTGACAGAGGGGGGGGGCCAAACGACACATGATCACTTTAATGCGGCTTCTGGATTAGGTCGCTTTTGGGCGAGAAATGGCGGGGTGGAGGGGCCCCAAGAACAGAGACTCCTAGGGGTGGGGGTGTCGGAGCGAGGTGGGGGGCATGGAGGGGGGCGCAGGTCGTTTTTGGGCGAGAAATGGCGGGGTGGGGGGCCCCGAACAGAGACTCCTAGGGGTGGGGGTGTCGGGGCGAGGTGGAGGCATGGAGGGGGGCGTAGGTCGTTTTTGGGCGAGAAATGGTGGGGTGGGGGGTCTCAAGAACAGAGACTCCTAGGGATGGGGGTGTCGGGGCGAGGTGGGGGGCATGGAGGGGGGCGCAGGTCGCTTTTGGGCGAGAAATGGTGGGGCGGGGCCCCATGAACAGAGACTCCTAGGGATGGGGGTGTCGGGGCGAGGTGGGGGGCATGGAGGGGGCGTGGGTCGTTATGGGGCGAGAGATGGTGGGGTGGAGGGGCCCCAAGAACAGAGACTCCTAGGGGTGGGGGTGTCGGGGCGAGGTGGGGGGCATGGAGGGGGGCGCAGGTCGTTTTGGGGCGAGAGATGGTGGGGTGGGGGGCCCCAAGAACAGAGACTCCTAGGGATGGGGGTGTCGGGGCGAGGTGGGCATGGAGGGGGGTATCGGCTGGTTTTGGGCAAGTAATCGTGGGGTCGGGGGTCCCATGCACAGAGCCCAGAGGCCTGGGGATGCCGTGGCCAGGTGCCGGGGCCGTCTGGGGGGTGTGGGTCGAGGCATGGCGGGGGGTCCCGGTAAGTTTTGAGCGCGAAATGGTAGGGTGGGGGGGCAGAAAAACAGAGGCTCCATGCGGTGGGTGGATGCCGGGGCGTGGCGGGGTGTGCGGGTCGAGGCGTGGTGACAAAATCGCGGGGTCGGGGCTGCCAAGAACAGAGTTCCAGAAGCCTGGGGATGCCGTGGCCAGGTGGGGGGCATGGAGGGGGGTATCGGTCGATTTTGGGTGAGGAGTCGTTGGGTCGGGGGTTTCAACAACAATGTCCCAGAAGCCTGGGGACGCCGTGGCCAGGTGGGGGGCATGGAGGGAGGTATCGGTCGATTTGGGGCGAGAAATCGTGGGGTCGAGGGTCCCAATGGAGGGGGGCGTATGTCGTTTTTGGGCGAGAGATGGTGGGGTGGGGGGCCCCAAGAACAGAGACTCCTAGGGATGGGGGTGTCGGGGCGAGGTGGGGGGCATGGAGGGGGGGCGTAGGTCGTTTTGGGGCGAGAAATGGTGGGGTGGGGGGTCCCAAGAACAGAGACTCCTAGGGGTGGGGGTGTCGGGGCGAGGTGGGCATAGAGGGGGGTATCGGCTGATTTTGGGTAAGAAATCGTGGGGTCGGGGGTCCCAAGAACAGAGCCCAGAGGCCTGGGGATGCCGTGGCCAGGTGCCGCGGCCGTTTTGGGGGTGTGGGTCGAGGCATGGTGGGGGGTCCCGGTAGATTTGAGCGCGAAATGGTAGGGTGGGAGGGCAGAAAAACAGAGGCTCCATGGGGTAGGTGGGTGCCGGGGCGTGGCGTGGTGGGGGGTGTGGGTCGAGGCGTGGTGACAAAATCGTCGGGTCGGGGCTGCCAAAAACAGAGATCCAGAAGCCTGGGGATGCCGTGGCCAGGTGGGGGGCATGGAGGGGGGTATCGGTCGATTTTGAACGAGAAATCGTTGGGTCGGGGGTTTCAGAAACAATGTCCCAGAAGCCTGGGGATGCCGTGGCCAGGTGGGGGGCATGGGGGGGGTATCGGTCGATTTGGAGCGAGAAATCGCGGGGTCAGGGGGCCCAAGAAGAGAGCCCAGAGGCCTGGGGATGCCTTGGCCAGGTGGGGGCCAAGAACAGAGCCCTGATGCCTGGGGATGCCGTGGCCAGGTGGAGGGCATGGAGGGGGGTATCGGTCGATTTGGGGCGAGAAATCGTGGGGTCGGGGGTCCCGAGAACAGAGCCCAGAGGCTTGGGGATGCCGTGGCCAGGTGGGAGGCATGGAGGCGGGTATCGGTTTATTTGGGGCGAGAGATCGTGGGGTCGGGGGTCCCAAGAACAGAGCCCAGAGGCCTGGGGATGCCGTGGCCAGGTGGGGGGGGCCCAAGAACAGGGGCTCCATGGGGCGGGGATGCCGTGGCCAGGAGGGGGGCGTCGGTAGGTATTGGGCAAGAAATCGTAGAGCCCCTGGGTCCCAAAAACAGAGGCTCCATGGCGTGGGGATGCCGGGGCCAGGAGGGGGGCGTCGGTAGGTTTTGGGCGAGAAATCGTAGGATGGGGGGTCCCAAGAACAGAGGCTCCATGGGGTGGGGATGCCGGGGTTGGGCGAGAAATCGTAGGGTGGGGGGGGCCCCAAAAACAGAGGCTCCATGGGGTGGGGATGCCGTGGGACGCCGAGGCGTGGAGGGAGGCGCCATGGGGTGGGGATGCCGGGGCGTGGTGGGGGCGTGGCGGGGGCGTGGTGGGGGGCGTGGTTGGGGGTATCGGTCGTTTTTGGGCGAGAAGTGGTGGGGTGGGAGAAAGGGGGGGCCCAAGAACAGAGCTTCCAAGGGAGGGAGCCAGGAGGGGGTTATCGGTCGGCGGCTGCTTGAAAGGAGAAGCTCACGATGAATCGCTCTAGCACGCACTCTCCCTCACACGCCTCTGGGGTCGGCGGATTTAGATATTTACACGTTCGCTTCCGTGCTTGTTGGAATAACTGCTTTGAGCAGCGCTCAGCGTGCTATCCAACTCCTTCTCCCTATCGTCATCGTCCCGTGCCTCGCCTGCACAGAGACAGTGGTTAAAAGAGCAAGCGAACCACGCAAATAATTGATTAAATATTGAAACAACTATTTACATAGTTACATGTTCGTTTGCGTGCTTTTTGGGATAAATACTTCGAGCAACGCTCAACTTGCTATCCAACTCCCTCCCCCATCGTCATCGTTCCGTGCGCTGTTCGTACAGAGACAGAGGTTGATAGAGTAAGCGAACCACCAAAAAAACATATTTATTGAAACGCATATTTAAATGTTTACATGCTCGCTTCCGTGCTTATTGGAATAACTGCTTCGAGCAGCGCTCAACGTGCTATCCAACTCCCTCCCCCTATCGTCGTCGTTCCGTGCCTCGCCCGCACAGAGACAGTGGATTAAAAGAGCAACGAACCACGCAACTAATTAGATTCTCGGAGGGGGCATTGAGCATATCAATGATGCCAGCAAGCTTCAGATGTCTGGCAAAAGCATCGGCAAGATCTGCGTCACCATGACGCACTGAGGCTGTGTTGGTTTGCCACCCTGATTTTTTCGGGGAGCTTGCAGGGTACTCGCGGCCACCAGTACAGGCTCTAGGTATTATATGCATCCATGTATGTATGTATGTATGCCTTTCATTTGATTTGCTTCTCGCTGCATGGCGCTGCGTTGTATCATGGTGTTTTCAACACTGCGTTGTATCGCAGTGCCGGTGTCGGCACTCCATTCTGAGCAGTTTCTTCGCTGCTTGGCATTGGTGCGCATTGCCTTGTATTGATGTGCCACTGTCTGTGATCGAGCTCTGTTCGGCCCGCGATTTTGTTACGCTTCGGTGTGCCTCATAGTTCGCATTGCTTTGCCTGATATCATCGGCACTTTTTCGAGCGCCGTTCAGCCCTGCAGCTAGAGTGCGCTCGGAACACGGTCCCCGCGCGCGCCCATAGAGCGTTCATATCCCAACCGTGCGCGGACAAAATAAAAAAAATACACCTTTGTAGTGAAATCTATATTATGCACTCAATGTTGTGCAATGTATGCGGTGCAGTGCATGTGAGGCTATGTGTGGCGCAATTCACGTGGCGCGCAATCCACGAAGTATTTTCGACGTGGTGCAGACCAAGTGGTGCAATCTATGTCTTGCTTTCTACGCGGTGGAATGAGTGGTCCAATCTACGTGGTGCAATATATTTTGCTAATTTGTTTGATGCAGTCTGTGTTGTACAATCCACGTTGTGAAGTCTTAGTTGTGCAGTTTACGTTGCCTTGACTCTGAGGTGCAATCTGCGTTGTGGAATGTACGCGGCGAATTCTGGTGGTGCTATCAACGTAGTTGAATATGACGGCGGCCCAGTTCTTCGGTGCAGAAATAAGAGCCCCCAAGCATCCGGAGCTGCATAACATACCCTTGTAGGTATACATATATATATATATATATATATATATATATATATAAACACATGAATGTATACATGTATACAACCGTTCTAGTTGAATGCCTATACATAAGTATGTACTTCGCTATGTGTACACATCTACGTATGGGTGCATACACATATATATATATATATATATATATATATATGTATATATAGACATGCATACATGTGTATGCGTATGTGTATGTTTGCCTGTCTGTATGTATGGTTTCTCGCATGCATATGTTATGCCTGTCTGTATGTAAGTGTGTGGAATGTATGTATGTATGTATGCACGCATGTATGTGTGAGCTCATCTTTCTTTACACGTGTATGATACACACTTGTATGTTTCATTTGCATGTACATGTGCACAACCGGCTTACTATGTGCTTATCGATCTTTTGGATCCCAATGCCACCGGAGGATTCCCCAACGATTCCTTCGGGCTTCTTGGGGACATTGACTTTCCCACGGAATCCCAGGGGAATCCACAGGAATGGCACGACTCTTCTGGGAGCTCCTGAGAATCCCGAGAGGCCTTGGGAAGGAGGCCGAGCGCCTCGGCGCTGGCAGCAGCAGCAAATGGAGGCAGGGAGTCGTGCAGTCTCCCCCCCTCCCTCTGGGAACGTGGGTTTCTTCAAGCTTCCTCCATGGGAGGCGTCACTCCCAGGGGGCCTGGTGAGCGCCCCCTGCCCTGAGAACGCTTGAGTCCTCAGGAATCCCTTCGGAATCCTTCAGACCTCCCCCAGGAATCCCCCAGGAAAGGCCCGGGGGTCCATGTTCAAGAGTCCCGCAGAAATCCTTGAGGAATCCGCAGGACCCCCCCAGCCCCCCCCCCCCGGAAATCCATGAGGGTTCTCTCAGGAATCCCTGAGGAATCTTCAGGAATCCCTATGGAATCCTTTCCAGGAATCCCCGAGGAAACCCCAACAGACCTGAAATAACCTTTGATAGGGATCCCCAGGACTCCCTCAGGAATCCCCCAGGAATCTTCAGGAATCCTTTTGTTAGGAATCCTCGATAATCCCTCAGGAATCCAACAAACAGCTGTTAGGGATCTCCATGCATCCTTCAAGCGCTGGGAAGCTGAAGCGAGCTTCCCTGGCTGTAATCCAGCATGCGCCTCGTATGACTCTTGAAGGAATCCCACACGTTGGGGTCAGTCCATTTCCAGTGGTTGCAAGCAGTCCCAAAATGGGTCCTGAACGGCCTGTCGTGGTTGGGATCGGCCTTAATCTACCCCCCCACCCTCCATGCAAGTACAGTGGAAGCCCATGAGAAGAAGCACCCTGCTTGCCTCCAGGAGGCCCTGGGTTTCCTGGGCTTCGATGGCTTTGCTATGGAGAGCGTGACGCTCCCACACCGAGCAGAAGTCAACGGACGCCTTGGGGTCTCCGGGTTTCTTTTGGAGGGCCTTTTGTGGTCGAGCCCCCGCTGCAATCCCGCCGGAGTCCGAGAAAATCTGCCCTGGCCGCTCCTGCGGAGAGCCGGGTCGCCCAGGGGCGCGCGAAGGGAACACTTGGCATCGCTCGGACGTGTGCATTTTTTCTTCGGCGAGGACCATCGAGGAGCATCCTTGATCATTTGACGGAAAAGCCGCGCACGAAACCGAGCAAAACACAGGGAATGGACGTCCGAGCGATGGCCAGAACACCGCCTCGCGCTCCGCGGCTTTGGGCGCCTCGCGGCTGCCCTCCTCCGAGGGGGGAGGGCGGCGGCGCGGAGGCGCGCGGGGGCGCGAAGATGAGGCCGCGCGCCTCGGGGCGCGGGGCGCGAAGCGAAGTGGCCTCGGGTGGCACACCGTGGGAGCCTTTGGCATTGGAGCCCCGCGCCAAGAAGCACCTGGCTTGCCGCCAGGGTGCCCTTGGTTTCGATGCTCGTTTCGGGGACCTTCCTGGAGCCCACCTAACGGATCTGTTCGACCCCAGTTCGACTCAAGTTCGGTTCAAGTTCGACTCAGGGTCGACTCAGATTCGACCCAGGGCCGACCCAACTCGACTGACGTTCCACGCAGCTTCGACGCACGAGTGGAGCGAGTGGCTCCAGGAAGGTCCCCAGAACGAGCATCCAACCTTGGTGTCTTGGGCTTCGATGGTTCTACGCTGGCACACGTGACGTCCCCCCACACCAAACATCGACGGATGGCCCGGGGTCTCAGGGTTGGGCTTCTCGTGGAAGCTTTCTTGTGGCCGAGCTCCTGCTGTACACCCCGGTGGCTCCACTTTTTTTGAGGGCATTCACCTCGGCTAGTGTCGGTTTATAGACGAGAAAGCGCCGAGATAGCGTCGACTGGCGTCGATTCAGCGTCGATTCGCAAGAACAGGCAAGATGGCGTGGGAGGCTCCCATGAGTCGCCACAGAGAGTGGTCTAGAACTAAGTAGGCCCTGGAAACGGCAGGGCCGTTTTTTTACCGGTTCCAGTTTGCCGTTTTTGTTGCCCGGTTCCAGTGCCAGTGTTTTCGCAGTTTTTTTGTCCCCGCTCCTGCTCCAGTCCTGGAGCCGTTCTTTTAGCCGTTTCCGGTCGCCGTTTCTGTCCTCGTTTCCATTATCAAGACACTTTTCTGGAAGCGGTGAAAAAACGGCCTGCCGCTTCTGAGGCCCACTAAGTTTTACTCCAACCGACATGCCTTGATCACCAGAAGGAATCGATACTGCACGGCTCTCAGTTTTCACGCGTCGGGCCTTGGGAGGCGATCTTCGTCCGGCACCCCGCCGGCGTGTCGGGCAGACGCGGTTTCGATATTTTCTTGGGTGCTCGACATTGTTTCTGGGAGGTGGTCCTTGAGTGCGATGGGAACAATGTTGCAAGTTCGATGTGTGTTCATGGAAGCCTTGGGCGGTGACGTTGAAATGAGCTTTTACTGTAATTGGACCGCACTGGGGCCGCATTTGGTTCCTCCTGCTCCTCCTCGTACTTGCTGTTTCTTCTCCTCCTCCTCCTGATCCTCCTCCTCCGCCTCGTTCTTGTCTTCTCCCTTGTTGTGAAGGGGCGAATCTCGTCCCATTCTGGTCCACATGTGATCCAAATCAGGCCCAAATCGGACAGCGCCAGGGGCCACGCAGGCTCCCATGACACGGACACCAAACTGCAAGCCCAGAAGACCTCCCCGGAGTTTAACATCTTGAAACATATCCCTATCCCCATGTTTGACATCACCTCACCTCGCTGCCGATCTTGAGGATTCCCTCAGTTTCCGAGGGCCTGTCCCCAACATTGTCCTCGCTGTTTGCTCGCCCATCGTAGGGATAGGGATAGGTTCGAGGCTGGTTAGGAGTAGCTGGGGCCCCCCCGGCGGCAGCGCCGATCCGAGAAATCCGCGCGGACCTCCGAGTTTGTATGTTTATGTCACTTTTTTTCAGGGCGTGAAGTACCTACCCCGCTTTCGCTTCCAGGCAAAACCAAGCCATACCACGAGCCTCCTCGTCAAGCGGCCTGACCAGTACAGGCCGTAGTTTGGCATCGCTTGGTATCTCTTGGAAGCGAGGGTGGTCAAAAGCGAGGTAGGTTTGTTTGCCCCCTATTTTTGTTCCCCTGCAGAAGACCCCCCCCGAGCTGCTGCCCTGCCCCCCCGTCGCCCCGCCCCGCCCCGCCCGCCGGGCGCCGCCGCCGCCTCGAGGCGGGGCCGCCGCCTCGGAGCGCGGCGAGGCCGTGCCCGCGCCCCCGGAGCAGTGCCGGCAGGCGCCGGCCCGGGGGTCGGGGGCTGACAGGCCTCCTACAGGGTCCTCCTCCTCCTCCTCGTCCTCCTCCTCCTCCTCCTCCGCCTCCTCCTCCTCCTCCTCCTCCTCCTCGTCTCCTCCTCCTCCTCCTCCTCCTCCTCCTCCTCCTCCTCTCTCCCTCCTCCTCCTCCTCCTCCTCCTCCTCCTCCTCCCCCCTCCTCCTCCTCCTCCTCCTCCTCCTCCTCCTCCTCCTCCTCCTCCTCCTCCTCCTCCCCCCTCCTCCTCCTCCTCCTCGTCCTCCTCCTCCTCCTCCTCCTCCTCCTCCTCCTGGGAAATCCAAGGAGTGACACTGCAGGCGCTTCGCCCAAGAGGGCAAGGGCTCCCATGAGGGAGCTGAGAATGCACAGCGGCCCCCCCGACGCGCCAAATGCACGCCGACGAGAGCGTGCAGCTCGTCTGGGGGAGGCAAGTGGGGGGCAGTCGGCGGCAACTTCCGTGCCCCCGGGCCCCTCGGGATCGCCGCGCCCTGCTCTGCCGACCAGCCGAGAGACGCCTTCAGACGCCGGGCCTCCGGTCGCAGGAGCAGGAAAAGGAGGAGGATGAGGAGGAGGGGCAAGAAGAAAAAACATTGCGAAGAAACGCCGGACACGACAGGAGGAGGGAGGGGAGCGGCAGAGGCAGCGCAGAGCAAGCAGGAACGAGGGGGCGGACGGAGGAGGTCGTCGTCGTGGACGGGGGAGGGGGCGGTCGTGGTCAGGGCAGGGCGTCGGGGGCGTTGGTCGTCGGGGGCGGTCGTGGTCGTCGGGGAGGGTCGTGGTCGTCGGGGCGGTCGTGGTCAGGGCAGGGCGTCGGGGGCGTTGGTCGTCGGGGGCTGTCGTGGTCGTCGGGGGCGGTCGTG